AGGGGGACTGAATAAGAGATGTCAGCGTGCTGGTTCATGCGATACAAAGGAAGTGATAATCTAAGAAAGGGCGAAATTACCGCTCATCGGCACGTCCATTGGGCGAACGGCTGCGAGCACGATCGCCCCGAGGCTCATCGCGAGGAGAAGCGCTGCGGTCGCGAGCGAAGCGAGGTTCGTCTGAAGTTGAGAGAAGCAAAACAGATTAGTACTGCGACCGCTGTGTTGACGACTATGACAGTTGTCGATCGGGATGTCTTTAGGCAAACACATACCGTCGTAGCGACTGTTCTCGTTATCGTATTCAGCAGACATGATGTCGATTTTGGAATAGAGGATGAAGCGAAGAAAGCGGATAGGTGATAAGGGAGGTAAAACGATGAACGAAGCTTGTTACTCGAAAGAGCGTGCGAGATGCACGTCCTGCAACAGGCTGTGGTTGAATGAAGGGGAAAAAAAGGAAAGCGGAAAAATCCAATCAGCAACAGTCGCGGATTAGACTAGTCTGCGTTAGGAATGTTGAAAATCCGAGGTTATCAGATTCCTTAGAAGAAAGAGAAGTAGAAAAGGAAGGAGGGATGAAAGAGATGGGAGATGAAGGATGATGGGAGATGATGATGGTATGGTGAAAAGGAAGGGGGAGATGGAGCAGGAAAAAGCGAGGCGAGCAATTCCAGACCGGGCGCGGTTCTCGTGTGGATGGCGCCAAGCCCCAGCACGCCTGGTGTTTGCCTTCAGCAACCACAAATATCTGCCAACATGGAGTATCTTCTGTCGACAGATCAGTACAAACTGAGAAAGATTCTACTATCTACAGATGAAAGAAATACTTTTTTGCAGTAAACTCAAGGGGCAAATCATCGGTAATCAATTGATTCTCATTCTTAGTAAAGAGCACGATGCGCAAAACAAGCGCAAAAACAATGCTTCATTGACGCGGTTATAACACCCATAACACGCCGTTGTTCCCATCTCTAAAGGTTCGAATTAAAACTCGCAAGGGGAATAGAAAAGGATTCAAATCAGAATCGCAGAGAAGAAAGTAAGTTTGCTAAAACCATGCTCGCAAGTACGTCGAAGAATCACTTGAATCCACGCCCTCGCCTCCGAGTTCGATGGACTTTCACAGCCGTCTCGCTGGTTTGAGCGTCTGACGCAGCAGCAGCTGTATCAGTTGGCGCTGAGTACCCCTCCATCTCATCGTCTACCAAGTCTTTCAATTCGTCCTCATCCAACTCACTAAGCTCCTCACTCATCCCCCGCATGACATCGCGGCCGGTCCAGCGTTCTTCGTGGATAGTCGTTCCGACGGGATCGAATGGTTGCATGTACCATAGAATACCACCCTGCGACAAGGGATGCTGCGGATCACCCTGAAAGCTTGGTGGAGGCGTAATAAGCCCTTTCTGGGATTCAGCCGGCTGTGCGAGTAATGGCGGGCTATTAAGTTCCTCCTTGCTTGGCTCGGCTTCCTGCTGTGCTTCAGCACTGGTGGGAATTGTTGCCGATGCTGCAGGAGCGATCTGATTTTCCGGCTCAGTCACCGCCGCCGGGGCAGCAAGTTCAGCAGAATCAGTCATGGGAGTATCCTGTACTTGAGCATCTGGAATAGACTGCTCATTCCCAGTATCAGGCATGGGAGTATCCTCTGCCTTCCCAGGTAGGGCTGAGGAAGATGATTCCTCTTGAGGCTCGACTTTGGCAGAAATTTCAGCTTTACCGCCAACGTTCTGTTGCATACCATCCGGGACTTCACTAGTGACCTGATTATCGATATGTGTCTCACCTTCAGCCGGCTCTGCAGATCCTTCTTCCACGGACCCTCTTCGGGAGAGGACGCTGTTCTCAAACATAAGATCCAGCTCTTTTAGTTCCTTCTCGAAAGGCTTGCGGTTGAGTTCGCTTTCTTTCTTGATCGCATCCTCGAGAGCGGGCTGGATGGCTTTGATGATGCGCTTAGCCAATTTCCTCTTTTCACGCTGTTCAAGAGGAAGTTCAGGAGCCCGCCCGCTGATCTGCATCTGTAACTCAGCAGTGTCCCCGGCAGGTTGCACCCCGATCTCCGACGTGAATATGGAAGCTAGGTCGGCCGAGAAGGCTGCAACCGATGTGTAGTACCGCTGCTGAAGTTTCTTGCGTAGTGAAAGCAGTCCTTGTTTGAAGACGCCCTTTCCATCAAGCCTAAGATGCCATTAGCGAGAAACTTCTAACCCTTCGATGACCAGAGATAGAATACTCACCCTTGAGCTTTGTCATAGATCGGCCAGAGCAAAGGGAAAATAGGAAAGTATACGGTATCCACAATGGACCTTAAAAGTTCCGCATCCTTCAACTTTTCCCGCTCGCGTTTCTTTACTTCATCGCACAGCATCCTGAGCCGATCAAGGTCGTACGACAATCTTTCGCCGAATTCGATGCGTCTCTGCAGTCGCTTGCCACCACTGACCCCCATGGCGACATAATCTCTTCGTGTCATCTCCATTGACGAGAAAGTTTCTAATGACAACTGCAGTCGTTTCAAAAGAGCTGCCCCTCGCCTGGCTTCGCGTTTGAGTGTCCAGTACTTGCAGGCATCTTCGGCATATTGTTTCCTCTGCCGAACACCAAAGCGCTGAAGGGACGCCACTACAGAATTAAGGACAACCTGAGGAATAACAGGAGCACCAGACGGGAGCTTCCATATCGTCTTGGGCGGACCAATGCGCTTCCTTTTGTTACCACCAACAGTAAGCGTGATGCGCGGGGTATGTGGCCTTTGTCCATCGAGTTCGCCAGGCTCAGCTCCCAAAGGATGGGATGGCTCCAGCGACAGAGCGGCCGCCTGACTATCACCCCATTGCCTGCCTTGCATTGTGTTGCGGTAATACTCTATAGCATCCGCCGTAGCAGCATCGGTGCCATGCTCCAAGCGCCAATCGTCAGGGACATGCTTATCACAAAACGCCTTCAGAAGGTGAGAATCCATGATGGCAGGAGCTCCATGGCCGGATTTCATCTTGAGGTAAAGCTGAGCACGCCGTGCACAGGTAGGATGGAAGGCAACAAAGCAGTTTTTGTTGCTGCACTGAATTGAAGCTCCCATTCGCTGCTTGCAGATGTAGCAAGTTAGCTTCCAACGGCTCCGGGGAACTTTTTCAACATCAGTCACCGGCTCCATGAGGGAGGGATTGCCAAGGGACACCTCTGGGATCCATATGGCACAGAGTAGATGAGACCACTTAGAGCTTGTAGTCTGCTTGAAAGCACCCTCCGTGTTCGGGCAGAAGATACAGTTGACGGATCCCCGTCCAATCAGCTGGCACTTCCGACACAGCCATTGCCCCTCAGGGATGAAGGGAACACCGTAACACTCTTGATGTACCGCAAGATCACAACCATCGCAGAACACGATGGCGTTGGAGTTTTCGCAATCGCCATCGTCACAGATAGCGCATTTACTGTCTAATTCCTCGCCCGGAGCAGTCGTTTCTCCATTCACGGCTGCTGCGGAGCTTGACCGGGGGCGTTGTGTCTGTGGAGGCTTCGGGTTCGGCTTCGGTATACGCTTTTCCAGAGTATGCCACTCTTTCTCGATTTTCGTCATTGTAATCTCAAAGACAGCTGGTTTGATAGGCTCCAACTGCTCTTCCCTTCGCTTCGCATTGTAGTCTTCCAGCCATTTCTCGTCTTGCTCATCCATGTCATATTCAACTCTGCCAACCGACGCATTGACTTCTCCCTCGGTGGTGGGCGGGTTGATAATATCCAGATCGTCCTCTTGCGCTCCCTCAGTCATACGAATCATCTGCCGCTCATGACGGACGAAAAGATCGCTTTCTTGGTAGCCCACACTCGCCATCGTCCGGTCCACGTAGTTCTGCTGGCCAACACCCGGTTGATCATAGAAGACAAACGGATCCCGCAACCGGAACGAAGGCTTTGGGAGGGTGAGCCTCTCACGGGGATTTGGACCCGGTGGCGGCACAGCTTTCTGCTGAGGAGTGATACCGAGGGCATTCAGGATGGCCTCAGGACGACGCGGAGGACGACCTGGTTTGCGCTTGATAGGTGAAGGAGACGCGCCACTGGTATGCAGCTTGATAAGCTCCGCTAACGGATCCTTGCTCCCATTAACATCGATACCGTTCAACTGCAATATCTCCGTTATGGGTGTCGACGGAGCCGGTTGATCTACTTCCTCCGCGTTGAAAACTGCAATTTTGGCATCAATATCCAAGTCCGGATGGAACTCCTCCCAGCCACGCTCCTCACGCGGCTTGTAACCGTCTCCCTGCTGTAGGGCCAAAGCGGCGGCGGTCGACGAGCCATAGCGACCACGACTCTGCGACTTCTCCCTTCTCAGACGAGCAGAGGGGGGAGTCGTCGGAACAGGGGGAGGTGGCGGCGGGGGAGGGAGGAGAACTGGTTGCGGTTCAGGTTCAGGTTCGGCTATGGGTTCAGGTTCAGGCTCAGGCTCAGGCTCCGGCTCCGGCTCGGATTCAGGTTCAGGTTCGGGTGCATGTTCGGGCGCAGGTTCCGGTGCAGGGCGACTTCGCGAGGACGAGCTCCGTCTGATCGGGGTTCGTTTGATCTTGATGGGTTCGTCCACGTCGATTTCGACATATCTCCCTCCACCTCCAGGTCCTCCGGGAATGTATCGTCGTTTTTTGAGAGGGGGGCCTTCGTTGGCTTCAGGGACTGGCCCCTTGAGAGTAACTTTCGGGCCCTTTCGCGAGGCCCTGCCGGCCGACAAGCGATATTTCGACGAAGAATACGGCGCCATCCTAGAGAAATCTCATGAAATGGCAGAGCCTAATTGAAGGTAGCTTAATAAAGCGTCCCTGAATGGCAGTTTGTTGAGTTCGCCGCTGAGCCTCAAAATTCAAATGTAAAGATTCCAGGCTGCGCCGTGCTTTGCAGAGAAAACAAATCAAACAACATAGGAGCGCAACTCATGACTTGAACAGTGCGCGGAATGAATCTCATAAAATCAGCAGTAAATAGACGGCTCCACGGCGGCCATGACGGGCGATGGCGAGGGGCGACGCGACGGCAGCTGGACGTCCGCAATCCACTACTGTCAATGTCTTGGCGCTAAGCCGCCCTGGGCCAGCCAGAGCGGAGACTCCACCCCGGATCAGATATTCCCAAGCAACGCGGAGCTTATCCATCATTCTCACTTACCTACGACGGAGCAATCAGCTTGTTCCAGGATGAGTGGTCCCGGTGAAGAACGGTATGCATCCCCGTATAAAATTCTTTCGAGTTAAACAAGCCAGATCTTCTCACTGACGGTTGTCCCTCTAGATGGCGCGGAGGTCGTCCGTACGATCAAAACCGCCAGTCGGGACAGAGACACTCTAACTCGAGGAACATGGGCGCACATAGCGGGAATCGCGGCGGACAGAGCTCAGCTCCCTGGACGGATTCTCGCGAGCCACTCGCCACCGGGCCGTCTCAGGAGCAGCACGTTCCTGTGCGCGGGTTCAATGCTGCAGAGTTGAAGGCAGCTTTACGGAGAGGTGGGTATTCTCTGGTCGTGTACTCCATTCTGTACGATTTGCTAACATTGATTGGTGTATCTTCAGGCCCAGGAGGTAATACCCGTCCATCGAGCCGGAATCTACATGTCCGCCACAAGCAGAAGAGTCGCTGACCACGCGCACCAGAGCCCAAGCCTTTCTTCTACCGACCAAGTGGAAAAGACGCAAACAACAACCGTGCCAGCGGACCCTGGGGTACAAAGCGTACGTTGTTATTCTACCGATTTGTCACTTTCGCTTAGTTCAACGCTGTTAACACACGGGCAGCCAACACGATGGCGAACGGAAAGGACTTCTTCCTTGAGCTTCGCAAGCAGGTGACCGCGTTGCGCCAGGGAGCTACTGTTCCTGGAGGTTGATTCTAAAGGAGTAGTATTAGCTCTCAGGCGAAGAAGAAACATACGGGGGTGGTACCGTCGTCAAGCCGAGTCTGAAGCAAGGCTTCGGGGGCCTCGGTCCAGGAAGCATCGAGGATATGCTGGCTGCTGCTGGCTTGCGCTGATTATTACCACACTGGGCGCACCGGTCAGTGTAGTTGATGCTGCAAGCGAACTAGGGGTATGCTTTAGGAATTGGGTAGTACCGCTACTTCCTGTGGCATCTTCTCCTGTTGTACTGGTGGATGGCTATGACATGAACATATTCGAGAAAAGTACATTCAAGACAAGGATATCGAGAGACTCTGCATAATCCACACTTTGGTCTATAAATACACTTCGTGCAGAAAACAATGCAACGTATGGTACAGTAAGAACAGCCTAGTATACAGTATCCTTGCCTTACTTTACCAACCACCCGTCAGCGCCCAAAAGACCGCCATCCTCAGCGCGCGGATCAAGAGCCCACTTCCTAAGAGCCCTACCACCGAGATCCGTGCTGAAGCCTGCCTCGAACATCTCAATCCCAGCCCACCCAATCATGGCCGCATTGTCCGTACACAAGTACGGCGGCGGCGCAACAACCTCAACATGTCCGAACCCGCGGACATCAAGGAACGACCGCAGCACAGCCATCAGAAACCTATTAGCCGCGACTCCACCGCTAATAACGAGAGTTTTGGCCTCTGGGACACCCTTGTTCCGCACTTTCTGCTGCAGCTCCTCAAGAGCGATGATCGTACGCGAACCAAGATGCTCAAAGCAGACGCGCATCGCCTCACGGGCCAGAGTAACTCGCTCCTCATCCGAGACGTCCTCGCCTGCGGTCTTCTTCGCCCCCATCAGTTTCGTGATCATGCTCGGTAAAAACGAGAAGCTGAACTGCAGCTGCCGGGTATTGGCGAATGGCGACGTGAGGGTCCAGCCCCACGGACTTGGTTGCTTGATCAGCTCCTCGCCTCGGGTCTTGGGAGCACAGTAGCTGCCCCAATCTGCACTGCCGCCGGGGAACGCAAACTGTTCCAGCAGTTTGCCGTACATTGTAGTTTTGGCGTCCTTGAGAACCGAGTTTGGGAGAATCTCTCGCGCTGCTTTATCGAGAGATTCGCCGATTGCGATATCCGCAGTCGAGGCCATGATCGTATGGTCTGTGATAGAGGTAGACTCGACGAGCATTGAATGACCACCGGAGACAAGTATAGACAGGAAGGGAAACTCGGGGGTTAGGGGTTGGGTGGTAGGGGCGACATCGCTTTTATGCTGTTCTCGGCTCATGGCGGAAACAAGTCGAGGAGTCAGGAGATGAGCTTGCATATGATGGACGCCGATAAACGGGATCTGCCACGCGACAGACAGGCCTTTGGCTGTATCGAGTCCAGTGAAGAGGTTCGCACGCATCCCAGGCCCGCGGGTGGCCGAGACGAAATCCGGCTTGCGCCGTTGAGAGCCATCTGACAGTTTTATCAATTTCGATCTATCCCCGCTATCTTCTGATACTGATGGTAAATGCTGGAGCGCCTTATGGACGAGTTTGGCCAGATTCTCTTGATGCGATTCAAGTGCTAAAATTGGGTGAATGCCTCGATATTCCCTGGTATCTGCCGTCAAATTCTCGAGGAAATGAATTCTCGCGGAAGCATCTCTGGATCGATCATTTTTTTCGATGATCGCAACTGATGTGTCGTCGCTAGAAGGAGGACAAAAATGAGCGAAATCCAGACTAGTGGTGTAGTCCGATGGTAGCAAGAAGACTTACCATGACGTCTCAATGGCGAGAGTAAGAAGTCCTCGATTCCGGGGTGTCTGAATAACTTTTGAAGCACTGCATATTCTCCCACGGAGGAGGGCAGATGCAGATCTCGAAATCAGCATTGAGAGATGTATCAAAACTGGTACTTTGGCAGCATGGCATCAGAAGTTGCGCTGCGAAAAACATTCCCCGGAACCCGCACGGACCATCGAAGCCCTGGAATACAGCCCTAAACAGGTGTAAGGTATAAAAGAGAGGATATCTATATAATAAAATGTGCTGCAGTCAGATTAGGTGTTGATAACATGCTCTGGGCTATAGTAAATAGAGTAATGATGTCTACCTGCCTCGGTCTACGTCCTACAAACTACACTTTACCATAGTTTGATTACAACAAACACTTCGGTCATAAAAATTGCCTTTGGATCATATCATCACGTCATAAGCCATAATAGTATCTATATACACACTGATTCAGGGGATGTCTCTCACGCTGAAATCTCATCCGAGTAACAATCATTGAATCCAATCGTTGCGCCGAGAATGCAAGATTCTGGATTCTGGCGACGATCCCCAAGGTCGGAGCCGGGCGCAGACGCCAGAAAGCATGTCGTCAAGGGGGACCCAACTCTCGACCCTAAGGTCTGGGCTTTGGCAGATCTGGTGTTGAAATTGACACCGTACCACGACATTAGAGTCTTTCATTCACGCACCATCCAGCGTCGCTCTTCTTTTGACAGTTTCGTATAGGTGCCGTAGTACTCCTCGGGGTTCTCGATTGGCGTCACGCAGTGTACGGTAGGAGTACCCTGGAACTGTATTCGCTTCTCTGCGTGGCTGGTTGCACTGGTCATGGGCTGCTTTTTGAGGATGCTCTTTGATTTACACGAATTGGTGTAACTGTATGATTGCGCTTGAATACTCGAGAAACGCTTTCCGCCCGGGCTTGGGGGAACCGGCGAGATTGGCGTCCGGGGGAAAGGACCAGGAGACTTGAGCGACAACGAAGGGCGAGTAAGACTCTGCGCGGTCGAAGTGACGACGGACAGCTTGGGTCTCATATTGACGGTAGTGTCTGGTGAAAGATTAACAGAAGGTGACTGTTGAGCCTTGACGGAGTATGGTTGAACGCTGAGAGAGAGAGGGACGGGCAACTTGAGCTGAAGACTTTGATCAACAGAGTCTTCGCAAGATGTATGTAGAAAGTGACTATTATTGACGAAGTGTAGATCCAAAATAAGTGGCAAAAGATAGTAAATAATGTTTGGACCAGCCAAACGAACCCCGTCTGGGACGAAAATAGAACAGAAGGACAAAAACGACAAACTGAGACGGAAAGTGTCTGAGGAAGAGAGAGATTCGCAGCAACCCAGGGATACTGCGCGGCTATATAGTCGCCCAGTGCCCAGCAAGGACATGGGATTGGGACGGAGGAGAAAAGAGGGGGAAAGAGACGAGCGAAAAAGGTGGTGAGGGGGTTGGGATGTTGACTGCGGGCAGCCAATGATCACCATCACCTCATCGTCCTAAGCGCCAGACACCTGCAGCCAACGCACACCAAAAGCCCATCACACTTGAGCTGGGATTAGTCGCATTGTAAGTAACGAATCATTGACTGATTGCGGTTGTGGAAATGCTCTGAAGGTTTCTACATTGACGAATGGGAAGTCTATCCCTTCGAACCCAGCTCAGCACTCCGGCAGAGGTAAGTATAGAGCGAGATTCCAGGTACGATTAAAGCCAAATGCTTGACCCTTGCTTAGCGAAGTTGATTCAGATCTCTGCAGAAATTGAGTCAAGGAATGACCATGTTGTTGTTCGGCCAACCATGAGACATGACACTTGCCTCCGGCGACTCGACCGTACAAGCTCCTCCCCTCACCAGAACAGCAGCTAGGATACCCTCAGAGTGCTCCTCTCGGTCATGACGATCACTGACTTGACTCGGTTGGATCATCCTTCGTCAGGCTCGACATACTACCTAGCCAAATCTATTGGTCGTCGCTGGGATACACCTTTTGGGCTACTGGAAGGCTATTGGAAAGCCTGATGGTACAGTTACCAATGATCGCAGAAACCGGGCGGTCCTGCGCCACAGTCACAATCTGTCTGCAGCCATGATGTTCTCTTCACTTAGAGACTTCTCTCTGTGCCCATCACCTTCACATCTTCAGCACAATCACACTGCAGTGTGAACCTAGAGTTGTGAGCTCAATCCGGGTGGCCGACATCTCGGTAGGTTTGAAATTTCAAGAATGTACGACTGGATTGGCAATCTTGAGTTTAGTCAGAGCCATCCCAAGTACCCTTCACGGAACAAATCGTACATGTAATGTCTAATCTGAACGCATTGTAGATTTGGCAGTATCCTGCGTGCCCAAGGTGAAAGGCATGAAGGATATGAAAGTACTTGGTAGGAGTCAATGGCGCTTGTTTGACCCACCCCTTGAAAGTAAGAGAGACAGCAATCGCAACCTTCGCAAGGGAAGGATGACCAACTGACGAGTCAATATTCTTACTCCGTCCATTGGTCGACTTTTCGCTTCCATCCATCTTCTGGGTGTACCACTCCTGCAAGAAGAAGAGGCAGTCGCTGGAAAGCTCATGATACAAGTGTCTTTGTAGGTAAGTGAGGAATGTGCAGCACATTGATCATTATCACGTCATCACACAAGGTCAAAGGTCCATTATAGGTAACCCTGATAGAGGAAGACATCCATATTGATAGCAGCAAAGTACCAGCCTCTCGGGCTCAGGCTTGCCATCATTTTGGATTACAGTCCTCATTCCTTGCGTTTTATCAAGAACAATACCCTATGAGCATCCAGCCTTACCTTGTATCCATGTATCTCTTCGTTTTTGCAGCGGGTCGGGAGGTTATGTCTAGTTATAGCCAATTTGTTTCACACCAGTACTGCATATTGCGCAAGACCGCTATAACAATACTAGATGCAGAACGTGCCTGCACAGCGCCTGAGAGGCTAGGGAAGCAGACAAGTGGGTTGTCCTACCCATAAGGGCGCCTCAATAAGTACTCAGGCTAAGGACTTAACGTTTGCCAATGCCTGATTCATCTGCCAGCTTGCTGGCAAGAGCTTTTACTTCCTCCTCAGCGGCTGCTGGGTCCACGTCTCCCTGAGCAGCGGAAGCCTCAAAATCAAAGATTTTTGCACCTTGCTCCGTCATTAGGAAGTTGTATTTATTGAGGTCCCCATGCACAATTCCGAATGCA